TGCAAGTATATATATATATATATATATATTGTTTCTATAAAAATAATTTTTTATACTTATATAGCTTGTGCAACGCTATTTACGCTACGCAGTATAAAGACCAAAACACGACGCACTACACTATATGCTTTTTAAAACACTGGTTTGCATATATGATTCTCAATTTTATAATTGGCATGGTGATTGTTAGGCTATTAAAATGGGATCCAAAGGAAAAAGGGTAAAAAAAATTGCTCAAATCTTGGTTCACAATAGAGAGCTCAAGCACATTCTATTGAAGGCAACCACAATAATATTCAAACGACCAAACCTATTAAGAGTTTGTTTGGTAAGCACCGTAAGCTTATTTGATCAGCTTATAAGCTTTATGGTGTAGATTAATATTATTATTACTATTATTATTTTATTAGTAGTAGTAGTAGTAGTAGTAGTAGTATTAATTATTATTATTAATTGTTTTTATTTATCTTGGTTTGGTAGACAAGTCAAGGAGTAGGGTTGATGGGAACCTTATTTAAACGACTCCCCATCTATTATTTGAGGTGGTTGATTTTGAATGAAAATTCATAATTGATATATCGTTTTGGTGTTCTTGAGATTGCGATCTCATAATAATAATAATAATAATAATAATAATAATAATAATAATAATAATAATATGCTATACCACTTTATGTATGCAAATAAATTTTGGTTTGGTAAGACAGAGTTTTTTAAAAAGATTGAGCTTATCTCATAAGCTTCTTTGACTAGCTTTTCAAATTAGCCAGTCGAAAATTTATTTCGGCTAGCTTATCAACTAATTTTACCGAGCATTTTTATAATATCAGCTAATTTTTCAGCCATAAAATATAAGCTATTAGCTAATTTCACCAAAAATAGCATAATATTGATGGATATGCTATATGGGATTACCAGAACATGTTGGTTTTTCTCTATTTAACATTTTTCTTCCTTTTTCTTTTTGGTTTATTTATTTGTAGGTACCTCACTTGTGGTGCCTGGCAGACAAGTTCTTTTGCTTGGTCATGATACTCAATTTATTGTTTTCGCGTCTCTTGCAGCTCTTAAAGGTACGTTTTGTAGGTCTTCCTTATCTATATACCATTTTTCCACCCTCCATATTGTGACTTACCATGATTCATTTACTCATTGTAAAACAAAAAAAATGGTAATTTTTTATGAAAGCCCGACAGCGACATCGAGGTTGTTCCTGATGTTAAACTCGCGAGTCGTCCAAATGGAGAAGAGAATGCGCCGGGCTTGACGATGTCAAGTGCAGACGGTAAATTTCCTATAATTTGCTGACCGAAAACGGTCGTAATATTGTTCTTAGGAGCTGTTTTTATAAGCATCCAATGTGCACATCACAAATTCATATATACATTCATTTGAGTATTTGAGTATAGTTTGCATTTTGCTTGAAAACATTTTACTGTATGACCTCTCTCATGATTGCTGTTTGTAGTTTATCTCCAAAATAAAGGGAGTGTGAACAATGTGTGAAAAGCATGAGTGAACTGGCTTCATTATTATAGTAGTCAATTTTCTCATCCATACACAACATGAATGAATAGGCTTGTTTATTGTCCCCTGGTTCCAGAAGAAACACCTTTTTTTGCCATTTTTTCTTGTTTCAATAATTCACTTATATATATATATATATATATATATATATATCCTATATATAATTTTCGAATGTACTGAGTCTAACTGACTGATACGCACGCTTCGGGATTTTATGGGGCAGATTTTTAAGTTTTGTTATTTGTCTTGCATAATTGTAATTTATTTCTAATCCAAAAGTAATTAGGTTTGGAATATTTATAAATATACTGGATATGTATGGTCCCTTTTAAAAACATTAATTATGTTTTACTACTATTTTCTGTTGTAGATGTGATTTATAAAATATAATTTTTGTTTCCAATCTTTTATTTAAAATTATAACAAACTAGTACAATACCCGTGTATTACACGGGTGCTTGTTAAAAAATTATTCTTAAATTTTAAAATTAATGAGAAAATTATATTAAATTTAGTTTATTTTTTTACAAAAAAAAAATATTACTATATATTTTAGAATGATATGTGTTACTTATGACTTACATGTGTTATATTATATTAGTTTTTATAACTTATATCATATAACTACTTGAAATATAAATATATTAGTTGATAAATAATTTTATTTTTCTAATTAATATTAAAAATAATTTTATTATTGTTATAAAGATAAATATAAATTATGTTTTTTATACTTACAATATGGATGTTAAATCGAAACTTATCAAAAGAAGATTAATTTGATATATTACATATGTAAAACTGATAAAAAATACAAAAGTTATTAACTTTTATAATATATATACAATTCAATAGTTATAATAAGGAATGATATTAAAATACAATTAATACATGTAACATGACCATAAATAATCAACATATTTATGGTAATCCGAACCTAATTATTATTGATTTGGAATTAAATTAAAATTTATCCAAGCCTAATAACGAAGCATGTAATTTTGCCACATAGGATTCCGAAGCACCAGAAGCAGCCACGTAGGCTCAACGCATTCTGTATTAATATATAGGGGATTTACACGTAAATTATAAATATATTTAAAACTAGAAATGTTGATTTCCTTTTCACGTGATACTTTTAAGGACCACAATATTTCTATTTCTATTGATAATGAGAAAATGAGATGAATTAATTTCGTCCCACTTTTGGGATCTGATTCTGATGACCTGCACCATACGACACATGACTTGATGCTGAGTTAAATGTCCTGTTTTGAGTTGTAAAGCATACATATGTTATTACCTATTTATTGGTATGCAATATAAACAATATCCCAAATTTGTTCATTTGAAAATGAAAGTAGATGTCACAAGCATAG